GTGTGAAAAATTCTTGAATGTTTTTTTGGTCTTAAATCCTCAAACATGAAGCGCCATTGTTGTCAGTTGCTATGACAACGAGTCTGCGTAGCTTGGCGAACACACTTTGCTGTGGATCATAGCACGAAATTAATACCTACATTTCCAAGTTTCACTGAGTTAACGGCTATGGATGACATTAGTCTTTTTGCCCCCCAGCGTTGTATACCTGCGCGAAATTTCCTTACGTCCAATAACATGTATAAGTCATAAGTCAGTGCCTCACCAGCAATGAACCTCACCGCACGTCACTGATGATGATCTATGTCATGATTCTATGTTGCTGGTTAAATAAAATCATATGGTAATAACAGCGTATACATGTCTGAGCTAAGCGTATGACTATCTGATAACGTATGCTGATCTGACAGAACACCGACGTGCTGGGAACCCAGGCATCCCTCAAAGATCCGGTGCCCATCAAAGGACATGATGTACCCCGTCTGACAAGACGGGCAAAACGGACGTTCGCTCTTAAAACAGTTCTATCTTACGCTGAAGAAAAAGAGGGAGCAGTTTGTCTGGTCCGCTTTTTATACAGACTGGGGTGGGGCCCACCCAGTAGATGGACGTGGACTAAGCTTTTTTCAGTGCTGGGCTGCGCGCGCGGGGGATAAACCCACTAGCGATAGCCTTAAAGGGCGAAGCCTATATGAAATAGATATAGAACATCTGATTTAATATCAAAGACACACCCAACTCCTGTGGACAGCCTCCTTCTACCAAGGCAGATCATTCTTTCTATGCCTATCTTTATGTTTAACCTCTAGTTTAGGGGCAGCCTTTCACCAAACAAAAGGGATAGATTTAATTTTGTTTTAATAAGTTCAGTTCAGGATCAAGAGTGTTATTTTTCTCTGCAACCTTGACCCACTGATTTTCAGTCACATCTCAAATATTTCATCTAGAATATTACAAACCATCTTGAGCATGATTTTCATCAAAGTATACAGTCTTCAATGAGTCTTCTGCAACTTTCCTGTAACACTGACCTCTACAGGAGATTGTTAAATTGGTTAATATCCCTGTGGGATTAATAAGGTATTTTACATCAGCTGAATGACTGACAGTAATCTCTGAGAGAATCTGGTTCCTATGTGTCATGCTGAAGCACTCAGGAGGAAGAGCAGTACATTTTCCCCTTAAAGGTCTTATGTAAAGCCTTACTGATGGATTTGTTGACAAATCAAATTTATCTGCCAGTCAGGTTACAATCAATATTTACTGTGTTTTTACCATAAAGAATCAGTCAGATGAAGAACAAAGAAGGCAGAGGAGAACATTGACTCATTTTATATAAAGTAAAGTGAAGTTAAAAAGAAATGAAAATGTTAATTGAAAATTAAATTCATTTAAAAGGAATACAGTGTTCCATCATCTTCCCAGTTTTCTGGAAGTTAGTTCCAGATTTGTGGTGCATAGAAGCTGAATGCTGTTACTCCATGTTTGGTTCTGGTTTTGTTGATACAGAATAGGCAAAAACCTGAAGACCTAAATAGTCTGGAACAACAGCAGGTCTTTAATGTATTGTGGTGCTAAGCCATTCAGTGATTTATAAACTAAAAGTATTTTAAAGTCTATTCTCTCAGTGTTAGGACTTTAGATCTGGGGTGATGTGGTCTATCTTCCTCAATTTAGTCAGAAATCGAGGAAGCAGCATTCTGGATTAATTTTTTTAGGCAGACCTTGGTTCTGCATCCACTGTTACAGAAATTGATGCAACTGAAGATAAATGCATGGATGAGTTTCTCTAGATCTCGCTGAGACATTAGTCCTCTAATCCTGGAAATGTTCTTCAGGTGATAGATAAATACAACTTTGTAGCTGTATTTATGTGTCTCTGAAGGTTCAGGTCTGAGCTTCACAGCTTTTCTTATTTTAATATGCACAACATGCACATGTGCAGCTAAGATGCAATCTCTTACCGTACAATGTCCATTGACACAAGGGTTGTTAGTCTCACAGATGTTGCTTATCTGGGTGCAGCCAGACGGACCATAGCCATTGCCAGTGTATCCTTGTGGGCATGTACACAAAGGGAATGCTGAACCTGGTACATAAATAAAAATGAATAAATGAATGAATCCATTGATTTAGTGTATTAAACAAAATTATACATTTTGAAACATCTCTTTTTAGCCAGTTTAACATGCTTTATATCCCACATGATGTTCTAAATTCAAAGACACTTGTTTTACCTGGGCTGGAGGAGCAAATAGCTAGAGGATGACATCCTCCGTTGTTGGAAGAGCAGATATTACTTTGTGTGCATGTTCTCCCATCCCCCTCATAACCTGCACAAATACAAGACAAAACATTAAAAATTAAAATCAATTGCTTATTTCCAGTTTTGTAAACGTACACAAATATACACAAATATCTTTTTTTTATTACTGACATAGACAGTGATTACTCGTCATATCTGTGAATGCAATACATATTTCATTAATCAGTACATCTGTAGATCTACAATTGCTAAACAATAACTTTACAGTTATACCAGGGGGGCAAGGACCACAGTGGAATGAACCCATGGTATTCATGCACTGGACCACTGGGGTAGTAGAGCAGCCACCATTATTTGTCAAACATTCGTCCACATCCTGACAGCTGTAGCCATTTCCTTGCCAACCTGAAATATACAATAAATCAAGAACATATACTCTTAGACACACTGTTGTCCAACTTTAAATAAAATAAGTGGATATTTAGTGTGGTAGGAAAAACAGGAGAAACTTTTGGAAGGATAACTGCAAACAGAGAATTTAAAGTAGCAGCATTCAACTCCAGTCATTGGGGGTCTTTGTTCTACACCTTTTAGAAGTGTCTCTGGTATAACAGACTTCAACCAAATGGTTAAATTACCTTCCTGGTATGCAGATGAGTTGAATACATTCTGAGCTTGTTATCCTCAAGCCCTAAATTCATGCAAGGATTCATTGCATGAATATAAAGTGCTGGAACGGATAACTTTGCAATTTTATGGACAAAATGAGCTCATTTTAGATTTGATGTTTGCCATGGGTCTAGTTGGGACAACTCAACACAGCTGTCCTGGGTTCGATTCCTGACCCCGAGACTTTAGCTGCATGTCTTCCACCCATTCTCTGTCTTGTGACTGACAATGAAGGTCTCTAGTGCAGCAAAAGATTTTGAAATAAAATAGTTAGGATAGGAGCAACAAATGGATGAAAAAGCATTTATGGGCATAAGGGAGAAGACCTCCACATGATGTCTGAGGTCTCCTGGTCCTCAGACGATGCTGCAACACTCATTGGCATGGCTGTGTCATAAAATTACTAAATGAACCTTGAAATACTTCCAGAAACCATTCTTGGTAAACACAATCTGTTGTGTCATTTTGTGAGGCCATGATGCCAATAGGAAGCCATTGAACACTTTTCAGAAGCGTTGCTGTGTCCTGTGGGCCAAGGCTCATTTGATATGGACTGTTTCAAAGTAGGTTCTTGTTCTGCATAGTGTAGGGATGCAAGCTATGTAGTAACGAGTTAATCTAAAGTTGGCTGATCTTATTGACCGACTAATGATCAATGGATAAGTGCCCAGATAGCGATAGTAATTCAACGTTGACTTATAGTCAGAAAGGTTGATTTTTGGTTGAGGTCGACTGATCAGTGTTGAATCAGTGTGTGTTGTCTGTCATGGCTGTCCTCCCCCTGTCCTCCTCTTTGAGCTCTGTGAGAGCATTTTATTATAGAACAGGGGTTAACCACGTTTTAAATTAAGCACTAAATTAAATTAAGCACTGCTGAGGATAGTGGGTTGTGATTCCTTTCTGAACCTTTTCTTACTTGTCCATAAAAATTATTGTTGACTGTGCGTGATATGTTGACACAAAAACATCTACAAGTCACTACAAGGCTGTGATGGACTGGCGACCAGGGTGACCCCGCCTCTCACCCAAAACATTCACTGGAGATAGGCACCAGCATCCCTCCTGACCCCACTAGGGACAAGGGTGGAAGAAAATGGATGGATGGATGGATGGATGGATGGATGGATGGATGGATGGATGGATGGATGGATGGATGGATGGATGGATGGATGGAAGTCACTACAAGGAGTGGAGCTGTCCACCCCACCCCTTATTTGCATGAGTAGTATATCCAGCCTCTTCGCGGTTTGCTTGTTAGTTCAATGATGAATTATGATCAAAAAGGTTGAATTTATGGTTAAGATCGATGATTGATGGATCAACCATCAAACAATCATCCAGTTCTAGCCAATTAACTAATGTTGAAAAGATGTCATTGAATTGATGTTGTTTTGTGATCAAATTCTAATGATTGAAATGCCAACGTCTGATGCAGTGTTTTTCAACACTGGTCCTCAAGGCACACTGCCCTGCAAGTTTTAGGCATTTCCATAATTCAGCACATGATTTCAATTGATGGCTGATTTACAGGGTTCAGCTGAAATGAAAACATCTGAAAATATGCAGGTCAGTTTGACTTGAGGACCAGGGTTGGGAAAAACTGCTAATCAATGTTGAATCAAAGTAAGCTGCTTGTCACTGTTAATCACCCACTGATTCAATCCAGGTGTGTGGCAGAAGGGAAAAACCTAAAATATGCAAAGCAGGTGGGCTGAAATACTGATCTAAACCTGCTAATCACTGTTTCAATCTTTTGATTCTTGGATTGGTAACTGGTTAAAGAGAACTAGACTATTACTAGCTGTGTGGAATATTTGTCAGCATATGGACATTTTTGAATGAATTTGATCATCAACTTATTTGGAAACATTTGTGGTTTATGGAAAATTGAATCAGTTATTCGATGGAAGTTTATTCTGTATATTAGTGATGGCCAAATGAAACCTTGTGAAGCAATGAAGTGTCCCAGCCCATTGCTTTGCCCAAAGGTTCATTACTCGGTGGTTCATTCATTTGTCA